TGTCGGTTCCAGCGGACGAAGTAAGTTTTAGTTTATCAATCAATGTTTTAATACCGGTGGAGTTAACGTTAATAGGATGCATGCGCTCGTAAAGCTCTTCAGGGAGAGTGGGGACGGAGTCCAAGCACTCGTTGGTAAACACTGATGAAAAGTATTCGTTAAACACAGAACTATCATGCCTCGACGTTGCACATCCGACCATTCCTAACTCTCCCCATCTTCCTAAACGTCCGTGTGTGTCCTAACACCAGAAACCGGAATTTTAAAGGTTAAAAACGGCACGTTGCGAATATGGAACGCGCACTTTCATGCAAAGCTGACGTCAAGGGATTCAAATCAAAAACATGCATATTTACAATATTGTTATCTCTTCTGGCTCAGCAACGGTTGCATCCGTTTTCGCGCACGAAACGGCGACTCCCAGAGAAAGTAAGAACGCAGTGATTGCCTTTATTTTAACAATGTAAACACACTTGCAGGCGTGCGCTGATGAAGCCTCAGAATCAAAGCTCTCGTAGTGTGATTCGTGACTGCGCCGGCTACTACCCAACCTCGTTGTCACGCCACTTTCTGCAAGCAAACACTAAAATTGCCAGTAAACACACAAAAGCAACATCGATACAATTGTCTTCTAGAATATCACCTTACTTAGTCATAACTGTTTCAATAGGCACTACAAGTTGTATTTGTTTTAAGAAGAAGCAAAATTTTTTTCGTAAGAAAAAACAAAATATCAATGTTAAGTCTGGTAACGTTGTAATTTTGCCGAATCATTGCCAAATCTTTAGAAAAGTTCGACAAAAGTTGCGCCGAATTTTCGATTGGGGGGGGGGGGGGGAGAGGGTCTGGTTTGCCCCCCCACTCAAAAACAAGTTGGTACGCCACTGGCCGCATTGTTGCGACCTTCCTTCTGTTGCCGTTTGCCGGTGTGGGAGGGCTTTATCTCGTGCCTTGCCGACCTTGCGTGCGTCGAGATTGTCTGGGTTTCACGGTTGGCATCGACAAGTGGTCCCAAAATGGCAACGAAGGACGTCGCAGAAACTGGGGTCTTTGCTGTCAAATGTCGCGATTCTAGAGGTTGGTCTAAGAAGTCTCGGCAGAAAGCAAGAGCAGACACGAGTGTCAGCGTTGCCACGGCGACTGCCGAAGTTTCCGTGGACCGTCGAGCTGTAGAGCAACTTGCAGCAGAACAGGCGTCTGTTACATCCGCCACCGCCAACAACAGCGTGACACATCTATGACGTCCAAGGGTGGAAATCGAGGGCACCATTTTTTAGGACTCGGTAAAGAATCGCAAAAATATAATGGCTGTTCACCGTTGAGACGCGCTCGAAAGGTTGTCGTCACTGGGAGCATCGTTTCTTCAGTCGCTCGGTCTCGGCCAAAAAAAGTCAAGCCTCGATTGGGTGCCTCGCTTGCGCCGAATCGTTTCTTTGGCGGGTTAGTCTCGGCTGAAAAGATAAAGCCTCGAATCGGTGCCTCTTTCGCATCGAATCAATGTCGACTACCTCGTGCCGATTGTTGGGCGAGTTGGTGCTGGATTTTAGAATGCACGGTAGCGCTAGAAGACAAGGACAGAAGGAGGAGAACTGGACACCACTGTGCGCCAACTTTCAACCGTTTAAACCGTTGAAAGTTGGCGCACAGTGGTGCCCAGTTCTCTTCCTTCTGTCCTTGTTTTCTAGCGCTACCATGCATTATCACATTGACTGCCTCACTGCCTTCTTGAATGAGCTTAGACTTTGTAGACACCGAAGATAGCATTATGCGGGGACCTTTTGCTCGGAACGCATGCCCATTTGGTGCCTGAATATACGTAGGTTAAAATTGATGCGACAATTAAAAAAGGAGGATGTGGCCTGCATCCTCTCTTTATTTTCAGGAAGCCGAGTTTCTTGAAACGATCGGGAGGGAAAAGAATGAAGGAGCACCGTCCCGTCGTCCCAGTTTGAATGAATTCTCGGCGTATTTGAGCTGAATGAATGGAGGCCGACGTTCTGGGCTGCCGCCCTTCCTTGTTTGTTGGGGCACTCATCCGAAACTCGGCTTGCCGCTTTGGCGCTGCCGTTTTCCTCTTGGATCTCCGCTTCGCCCGAGCTCCCGACAGTTTCACTGTGGCGGGTGCAGGTCGCCTGCCGACCTGGAATGTCGTTGGAATTGGTTGAAATGTTGCGGGAGTCATTCAAATGTGCCACATTTGGCTACCTTTTATTTGTCTTGGCTCGAGGGTTTGTTCTGACCTTTACCTTGGTTCCGGCGTGGAGACAATACAACATGCGCAGCGAGAGTCTTTGATGAACCGACGCACAACACATTTGGACTTGCGAGTTGCCGGTTGGCCGAAATGTGGACGAACAAATGCGTGCGAAGTGAACGGCCAAACTTTTCTGGGAGCAGGTCTAGAGTGTGTTCTGTCCAATTCAGGGTGAATGGGACTGTGCCTCATCTGATTGGAATTTTCTTTCTTTTTTTGTACTCAGTAACAGCATATGACATAGCACAACTCCTACGTCCTTGGCGATGTGCATATTTCGAAAGCTGAATCGCCTCGTGAGATGCTATCTTTGAGAGGAGACGTTATGCAGCGCCTTTACTTCTGCCCTGTTTCCGTTTCGGTTGCATTACTCATGGCCACCATTTTAGAAATGAGAGAAGCGTTTTCTTTTCGTTTTACATTCCTCCTTAAGCTATATGAATCAGGATCAGCATCAATTTGCACCTGCTGAAAGTGCACACTGTTCTTTGGCACTTTAGCAATAAACAAGGAGAGTGGCTACATTTGCATGGATCCAACCAAAGCACATAGAATTCAAAGGGGACCAGTCATCTGCACACAGTCCTCTTCTAGCTTCCTCTTCTGCTCAATGATTTCCGTCAAATCTCTATTCGACGTGCTGTGCTCACATCCATGTAAACATGGCCAGTGACAAATTTAGACTGTATCAAGACGGAGGATTTGAAAGCGCAAAAGACTGAGAAGAGAAGGAGGGGACAGGACAGAGTGCTTATTAGACTGTATCAAATTATATCTCCTGTAAGCATTGCGTCTCTCTTATCATGACATGTTGCTTCCTGAAATTCTACTCCGAAGAAGATTTAGGTAGAGTCTGGGAAGCGCGGTCAGTTTTACCATGGTATTTTGGGCATTGTTTGCCCATCGCATGTCAGAAGTTGAAAGAGGCTTTGGGCCTGCTAGCAGCAAAAAAAAAACCAAGCAGGTGTTGGTTTTTTTTTTGTTGTTTTCTTTGTCCTAGCTACGATTGAAAGCACGTCTGAAGCGCTGTTGACTTCTTCGATGGCTTCCAGACGGGAAAGAACCGCCATAGGGCCAGAGAAAATATTGCTCGGAGGTGTGCGAATGCAACAAGTTGCACAAGATGCATCTCGGTATGGCGGTAAGGATGGAAGTAGAGTGGAAAATTTTAAGCGCTGACATCGGTAGTTCTGAGATAAGGAGAAAGAGAGCGACGGAAGAGTGCAATATCGTTGCATTGACTCTCCTACTAAACTTTGCGAACGGGCCAACCTTCCATCACTTGAATCTAGAACTAAGCTTGATAGGTCAAGATGTATTCTTCGAGTTATTCATAATCGCATTAAAATTAATCTACCTCGAAATCTGCACGAGCGAATCTTCGAGGCGTCGCCATAGAATGCTTATTCCAAACCCATCCGTTAGTAATGACTGTTCTAAATTCAGTTTCGTCCCCGTAGCAATCAAAGATTGAGAAATGCTTTACTCGACAGTGCTGTGTTAGGACATCTTTTGGTGAATTTGTCCAGTTCATCGGAAATGTTGTTTGAGGTGCCCACTACATATCGCAATTTGAACTGACTTTATTTTTTTTGTGTGTGTGTGTCATTGGATGGAAATGTCATGGATGAGGAAAGAATAAAACAATTAAAACAGGGACAACACAACCACATCTTTCAACTAGCAACAGACGAGTAAACTTTCAAATAGCGAGCAGCCGACTATACCCAGTAGGAGTAGGGGAGAGAAGGGGGAGAGAAGGAAAGAAAAGAAACGTGAAGTGCAAGTCAGGGTGGTAGGGTTATCTCGGATATTTAAAAATTCAACCTCAGTTTTCGTCAGCAGGAGGGAAGGGTTAGACACATTGTTTTTTGCTGGGGTCATCGCGAATGATTCTATGATTTCCCTGCCGAATCTGCTGTCGTGCCCCCCCAGGATTTTTGTGTCATCAAAGAGGGGATGACAACGCAAACACGAATGGGCATGTATGACTATGGGATGATAAGAATCTGGAGAGGCCTTAGAAACTTCGTTGTGATGTTCGCGGAGTCTGTGATTGGTGCATCTGCCGGTCTGTCCTATGTATTGATGGCCGCAGCTCAAGGGGATGGAGTAAACTTTCTTCTCTTTGCATGGAATGAATTTCTTTTCGTGTTTGACGGTGCAGCCAATCGGAATCCGGTTGTTGTTCACTTGTTGACATAGTTGTTTAAGACGCATGCGGCACGAAAAGACAACATTCGTGTCGAACTTTGAGGCAATGGATTTTATCCGATGGGCTGAAATGTGTGTGGGGTCTTTCGTTTTCTGTTTTTATTTTCACGTCCATGGCATTATTTCTGGGATGGGGGAAGCCCATTGAAGATTTTAGGGGCTTTGAACCCCTAAACTTGGGTCTCGAAAGGGGAAGGTCGATCTTAAACAAGGACGATGGGGACACAAACCATCGAAACAATATAAAACTTAGCAGACGTTAAAATAGTCGCTGAGAGAACCCCCCCCCCCCCCCCCTTCAAGAACAAAGGACCCTATGTATGTGTTACTTCTTTTTTTTTTTCAATAATGTCACGATGTTGAAGTTTCTCATGGCACCACTGTTTAATCTATTAATTCTGTTAATGTGTATGTATTGTTTTTTTACAAAGTGATTTCCACCCCTGTATTAGCACTCACGGGTTATCTATAAATAAATAAATGGAGTGAGATGAAAATAAAAAAGCACACATCGTCTGTTGGGTCTTTCCAGTCAAGGCAGCCATCAAGGCAGCGTCGCAATGCCCACAGAACGGCGGAGCTCCGTGGGTGACGGATCGAGTCTGGACCCCGTGGCGGGGGGAGCCTCAAGCTCGAGCGACGAGACGTCCACGGACTGCAAGGACTCTGCATACGTCTCCAGCGAGAGGCTCACCGTCATGGGTGAGTAGAGAGGGCATGGGCTTCTCTCGAGTAGAGTGCCGTAAACCCCTCAACTTTTTAGGACAAGCTTAAAGGGCAACTCCGCTCAATTCTGAAGATTTCGGGATAATGAGCGATTTCGAATTAAAAAGCCCTAGTAAAAGACGCTACGTCGTTTGCTTCACGAAAAATGGGATATATATTTTTAAATCTAATTTTAAACTTGAGCGGAAATCGAAACCGAAACTTCGGCTCCGTCCGGCAACATTGGCCTCGGGCCGCCAAGTACATGGCCATCACGTGGTACGAGATGTCACGTGATCCTCGGCCCAAGGACGGGCGGGATGGGGGCGGGCGTGTGGCAGGCGCGAGTGTCGTCTGCACCGCACTCTTCGCCACGTTTTGGTGTCTACGGCATTCAACGACGTCTGCACAACTGCGGCATAAGTCTGCGACTCTGCGCACGTGGTGTCCATAGTGTGGACGAAACTCCGAGAGGCAATAATCACAAACGGTGAGACGACGACGGTGGTTGTGAAGTGGAAGACGGCGGTAACGGCGGGACCACGGCGGGCGGTTGGTCTGCTCCCAAGAAGCGCGCTTCGCAGGCGCGTACGCCAGTCACGTGAACACCGCTGAGCGCCGAGAGGAAACATTGCTGACGTCATGCGCTACGCTCGATCGGAGAAGTAGAAACAAGCAAAAGGGGGCCATGATGATGATGTTTAGCTTAATCTTGGCTCTGCCCATGCCGTAGCCTTGACTGCGCTGTTGGTTGCGCCTGAATTCGCCCGCTCGAGTCAGCCGATTTCGGCAACTTGGCGAGTTGCAAAGTTTGCCGGACCGTTTAAGAAACATTTAGACAGAACTGCGTCGTAATATTTGACGTGTGGTCTTCCTAGGCGATACTGAAGAGGACTGCATTGTTTTTTCAAAACCAAAAATGAAGCGGAGTTGCCCTTTAACCGTTCAGGAAAAGTATGCGGAGTGCAAGTTCGCCTGCTTCGTTTGCAGCGGTTCCGGTGACGTCAGAACACCCGAAGCTCTGATTGGCTTTGATTGAAGAATAGTGGGTAGACCTCAAAGGACCTTAAAGCAGCTTGCTTTGAGGTCTACCCACTGTCCTTCAATCAGAGCCAACCAGAGCTCAGCTTCCTGACGTCACCACAGCCCCTGCAAAAAGAAGCAGACGAACTTGCGCTTTGCGTAGCTCGTCCGCTTTGCTACGTTCCCGTTCTCGACCGTTTTGGGCGAACCAGGCTCGCTCATGGCTTAGCTCGAGTCTCTGCCAACAGATGGCAGCGCTGAATGTTTTAAAATTTTGTTTCTTTTTGTGGCTAGAAACTTGATTTTTCTAGGCCACAAATATTATTTTGAAGACAACAATTGGGCAGTTGAGAATCAGGAATTACCTAAAACTAAAACAGTTAAGGGGTTAAAGCCGTGGTTCCCAACCACTGATGTTCTGGGACCCCTTCTGGATGAGTGGAAAAAAAAAAGGGGGAAGTAAGGGGGGGGGATTGGACAAGTGGAGGTAAACTACTTGCATGCAAACCTACTTTGAAGCTTTGAAATGGAGAATAATTTACCCTACTCACTGAACACTAATGGTTTGGTCTATTTATCTTTGTGAGAAAGTTGTCATCAATAAAACAAGTTTTATTGTTTGGCTGGGGGGTCCAAGGGCTGCGCAGACCCTAAAAAAGCCTTAAGGAAATTTTAAGAGTCCACAGACCTCCCCTTGACAAGCCGCTGCTTTAATTGGATGGCAAAACATTCTTGTTTTAAGTGCTAAATAAAACGCCTGAAACACAAAATGAATAATTTTTTCTTTTTAATTAGCATATTATTTACATCACGAGACTGGTCTGAGCAGTTCCGAAAGATATTTCTATTTTGACGTTGGCATCCCGAACTAGAAGAATATTCCAGATCGCTCCCGACTCAAAATTAGACTTGTAACCAAGTAAAAACTGCGCAACTTGTTTTTTTCTTTTTTTTTGTAGGGGGGCGGGTACAGTATGTTTTTATTGGGGAAGGGGGGCACAGTAGGCTTTCATTAAAGGTGCACTAAAGACATTTCTGAGATCGTCTGTTCTTGGTGATAACTCATTCTACGGGATCTTGGCATCCAAAGAATTGAAGAATTATGCTTGTGCGACGTCTATTTCCCTACTAAAAATGTGATAGGAGTTTGTGCCACAGCCCTTTCTGAGCAGAAAAGTCTGAAACACAGAATTCAGTGCAGGCACCAGTGGCGTGAAGACAGGCGTGCTTCAGCCAATCGTAAGCCTCCTTTTCGAGAAAAGCGGCTTGCAACTGGCTGATGCGTGCCCATCCTCACGCCGTCGGTGCCTCCGCTGAATTTTGTGCTTCAGATTTTTCCGCTCAGAAAGGGCCGTGGCACAAACTTCTATCACATTTCTAGTAGGAAAATAGATGTCGCACGAGCATAATTTTTCGATTTTTGGGATGCTAAGATCCCGTAGAATGAATTATCACCAAAAACGATGATCTCGGAAACGTCTTTAGTGCAGCTTTATTTCAAACTCCTGGAAGCCACGAATTTTGTTTAAATTATCAGAAATTCATCTAAATACAACGCAAGATAATATTATGATTTGCCATATCAAGGGCTACACATGCAAAGCAGATATTTGATGATTTCCTCTACCAAGGCCTATCTTAGAATACCACACATCCGCCCATTCCACATGAAGCGCCCATTCCCAAATTTCTAAGATCTGAGAAAATATGCACAGTAGATTGATATGTAAAATTGATGACCGGACAAGCGCCCATTCCCCATTTTTCGCGATTATCTCAAAATTTGAGTGGGCGCTTGTCCGGTATTTTACGGCATGTATCATAAGCGGGTACGCCACACGTGAAACATTTGTGAAATGTATGTTTACATAAGTTTATTTATCCCTGATAAATATTTTTTATCGTGGACTGTTTGACAGCACATGACAACTCAAAACAAAATTAAGTTTTTTCATCAGGCCACGAAGTTGTCTAATGCGGACTATAAAGCAGGGAACACATGAGTGATGAAAATGGGCACCGCGCGGCAGTTTTTATAGGAATTTGTGCAGACGTTTTGTTGTGGACCCATGCCATGCAGCCATTTCAAAGTGTCCGCACAAGTTGCTATGGAAATTTCTGCGTGGTTTCCATTTCTATAGCTCGTGTGCCCCGCTTAAGCCTCGTTGAGTGCGCTTCTCACCGAACACCGGTGCACTGCGGAGAAGCAATACCCGAAAAAGCGAGCTCTTAGGGTGTTGCGCCTCTGCTGTACACCCGTGCTCGGAAAGAAGCGCACTCAATGGTGCCGCGAGAACAAAAAGTATCAATTGCACGCAAATTTCATTCAAATTAAGCGGCTTGTGAATATATTAAAAACTTTGTGGGATTTCTAAAACTTTGAAATTTGTTCGAATTAATGGAAAGTATGAAATATTTGAGTTTGAATTGTGGCGAACCTACCGTATTTTGTTAAGCGTTTTTGGAAGATCATTGCCCATTTTGGCAGACAAACTTCCCAACAGTTAGGCCTAATGCAAGTTTTAGAACCGAGTTTAAAAGCTCGCGACGTGCGTCGAGCACCTCGGACTAAAGACACCCATAAAGAATGCGGAGGGCTCGACGAGGGTTACGAGCTTTCCCTTGACGCTTTCTCGAGCGCAGACACGAGCCCCCCTTGGACAGCTTCGTCTCCGGACTTCGGACCGGAAGTGATGTTCGACCGCCTCACGGAGCTCGCCATCATCGCAACGAGCCCGGAGAGCCCCCTGCTCAGGGCCTCACCTCCGCTCCTGGGCCCACCATCCGCGGTGAGCATGCCTTTGTGCGCTCGGAGAACACCGCACTCCGGGACGCGTCTTGGACGGGCGCGTTCAGCGTCCCTTCCCGCCCACACAGCAGAAGCGGTCCCGAAGCGGCAACGAACGACGTTGCAGGAACCCGCGTATCACGCGGTCGGATGTCGCAATCTGTTGGCCTGCAGCTGCCAAAGCTTCCGCAGACTGGAGAGACTGTTCTGCCACGACTCCCGTCGCCGCTTCGACACTGCCGGGATCGTGGCCCACTACGGCGCGATGCTTCTGTGACCCTCCCGGGCGGGAGCCTGGAGACCCCCTTTGTTTTTGTTTATCCTTTATTCGAGAGCTGCCCCAGATTGCCCGAAGGCGTTACTGCGGAAGAACTACAAACATGAAAAAAAAATATTTTCTTCAGTTGCAGAGCAGACTTGCTCCTCCGACAGCTCGTTCCATTGTTGGATGGACCTGACAAAAAATGAATTTGCGTACAGGTTTATTCTGGCACGGTATTCTCTTATTTTCAAGCATTGAAAATAAGAGACTGGAAACATGGTACGTTTTTTTTTTTAGATGAGTATTTTTGATTAATGCCCAGTCTGTCATTAAATATTGAGAATAAAAATTGAAGTGTCAGTTAGATCTGTCGGGGTGAGAGCAGTTACCGATTCAATTCTTTTTTCGTGTAAGGTTGTCAGTCAGATTGGCAGAAATCGAGGGACCACGAACGAGGACGCAATAAATATGGCAGTCGGATTGACAGAAATCGAGGGACCATGAACGAGGCCGCAGTAAAGACGCCAGTTGGATTGGCAGAAATCAAGGGACCACGAATGAGGACGCGGTAAGGTTGTCAGTCAGATTGGCAGAAATCGAGGGACCATGAACGAGGATGCAATAAATATGGCAGTCGGATTGAAAGAAATCGAGGGACCACGAACGAGGACGCGGTAAGGTTGTCAGTCGGATTGGCAGAAATCGAGGGACCACGAACGAGGACGCGGTAAGGTTGTCAGTCAGATTGGCAGAAATCGAGGGACCATGAACGAGGATGCGGTATGGTTGCCAGTCGGATTGGCGGAAATCGAGGGACCACGAACGAGTATGCGGTAAAGGTGCCAGTCGGATTGGCGGGAATCGAGGGACCATGAACGAGGACGCGGTAAAGACGCCAGTCAAATTGGCAGAAATCGAGGGACCACGAACGAGGACGCGGTAAGGTTGTCGGTTGGATTGGCAGAAATCGAGGGACCACGAACGAGGACGCGGTAAGGTTGTCAGTCGGATTGGCAGAAATCGAGGGACCATGAACGAGGACGCGGTAAATACAGCAGTCAAATTGGCAGAAATCGAGGAACCACAAACGAAGACGCGGTAAGGTTGTCAGTCGGATTGGCAGAAATCGAGGGACCATGAACGAGGACGCAATAAATATGGCAGTCGGATTGGCAGAAATCGAGGGACCACAAACGAGGCTGCAGTAAAGACGCCAGTTGGATTGGCAGAAATCAAGGGACCACGAATGAGGACGCGGTAAAGACGTCGGTCGGATTGGCAGGAATCGAGGGACCATGAACGAGACACGGTAAAGACACTAGTCGGATTGGCAGAAATCGAGGGATCATGAACGAGGACGCTGTAAAGGCGCTAGTCGGATTGGCAGAAATTAAGGGACCACGAATGAGGACGCGGTAAAGACGTCAGTCGGATTGGCAGAAATCGAGGGACCACGAACGAGGATGCGGTAAAGACGGCAGTCGGATTGGCAGAAATCGAGGGATTACGAACGAGGACGCTGTAAAGACGCTAGTCGGATTGGCAGAAATCGAGGGGCCACGAACGAGGGCGCGGTAAAGACGTCAGTCGGATTGGCAGAAATCGAGGAACCACGAACGAGGATGCGATAAAGACGGCAGTCGGATTGGCAGAAATTGAGGGACCACGAACAAGGACGCGGTAAAGACGCCAGTTGGATTGGCAGAAAAATCGAGGGACCATGAGTGAGGGTGCAGTAAAGAGGGCATTCGGAGTCATGTTGAGAATGGAGGAGCTTCAGCTATCCCGACTCCAGTGCGAGCTTCCTGCCTTCCTTCACGCTTGGGCATCTCGTGCCCCACAAGCGTGTGCACGCAGCCAGAACGTGGCAGAAGACGTGGAGCGCACGCTGGAGGCCGGGCGTTCGAAAGACACACCCTGCCCTTCTCACTCTGTCGGTGACTAGATACCCTTTCCGACGTTTACCACGCAGGCGAAAACTGTCAAGTCATTGAGCCGTAGTCGCAAGAGCTACATCTGGCAGTTGGCAGGAAGAGAGCTACCATGCATGCCTAGAGCGCGTTCCACGGTCCAATAGGCTAAGATGGCAGCGCGCAGAAGGCAGTTATTGACATGGTCTATGGAGGGTATGCACCGGACGTCACGTTAGAGTGTGCCATTCGGAGCACATGCTCGGATCGAGCTTACATTCATGGGCTGCTAAGACCGTCGTTACCGATGGTGTGGAGTGCACGCTGCAGAACAACTGCAGTAGCTCTCCGTCAGCATGCGCTCGACAGCCGCGCACGCAGCTGTGGTTGCCAATGCATACCTCTAACAGCGGCAGTTTTGCTCGTTGCTCGGGCATCGCCCACGTTGCACGTTGCCTGTCGCGGCTGGTGGTGGCGGAGCGTGTTTCCGACGGCCTTTCTCCGGCAGGGGAGCGGTCCGGGGTCGCCCCAGTGCCGCCAGCGGTCCCTGAGCCTGTCGGCCCTGCACTCGTACGCGCGGCCGCCGTTGCCCCAGCGTCAGGCCCCGGGGAAGTGCACCACCCCGACGCAGGCACTCTCCGTGGACACCATTGCCCCCAGCTGGGACTGCAGCAGGTGGGAACTTTTTCAATGCGCCCTCCTCTCGCCCTCGTTGTCTCCGTATTGTTTGAAAACCCGCATGCAGGGGGAGCGCCGAATCTTGCAAAACCACTTTGCGCACTTAAAAGCCGACATGCACTTTGCGCTTTCCACTTTTGTCATTCTCCTCCCTCCTTATATCCTCTCTGCCTCAACACGGCTCCCCTCGCAGTTTAGGGGACGCTAAGGGGATTAGCTTCCTTGGAGAAAACGAAAGTTGCATGTCGGCTTTTAATGTCGTTATCCGGAAGTAAAATTTGTTGTACGGAGGTTAGAGGGGTGGTGGGTGGGTCTGCAGGAAATGGGTATTTTCGCTCGTGAAATACAACTGCTATCCTGGGGCATTCGATGTGCGTTGCGCAGTGACGGTTATGTGACTGCACGCCAGTATGGTGCTGAATGTACTGTGGATTCTCGTAATGTAAACGACTCAATTTGAACGAGGACTCTATTTTTGCGAAGTTCATGACTTGAAAAATCTGTCAAAAAATGAATCTTTCAAATATATCACCCTATGGTAATGGATTCATAACATGTCACTCCAAACCACAAAATATTGTCAAATCCCATACCCCGCAAAATGTGCAAAATATTAAGCCTGTGCTTATTTCATAAGGTTGCACTGAGTTCCATTTTTTAGAAGGCATCCTGGGTGAGGTTTCAGAACGAGGGATAAATGAATCTTTGGGTCATACATTTCAGCTTCATGGGTTAAAGTTGCTCTTGCAATCTAGAAACAACGCACTTAGGACTGTCACTTTCATTGGCATGTCCTTGAATGGGAGTTTTCTGGAAGGCTCAGAGCGCCAGCCAACGTTTTGCGGAGACACTTGGCCCTGGAGAAGTGGTCACTTGAAACATCCGCTGCCCCTCTGAGGATTGCAGATGGTTCCTTTTTAAGTCCTTCCTAAGAGCTTTGACTGCTTTTGTGGTTTGTGTGCACTTTAATTGAAAGAGTGCTTTGTAGATCATGTGTTTATATCTCTCTGATTGAATTGCATTGATGCTTTGTGGAGTGCTCCACACAGACGTGCCGAAGGTGCGATTTTCACGAAAGTCACTTTTTCTCAACTTTGGTTTTTCTAAGCCTTATGTTTCCGGCGTGTTTCAGGAGGCTGCTTCTGACTCCCGAAGACCGCTCTGCCGCCTACACCCTCAGCACCATGGCTCAGGTGGGCTTCCTGCTTGCACTCGACGGGAAACTGGGCTAACGATCGAGCTAGTCGCCTCTGAGCGGTTCCCTAGTTGCTGAGTGATTGCTGAGCGCCCAGGAATTTCTGAAATGCTGAGCGGCTTCTACGGCGTTGAGCGTTTGCTGCGTCGCTGACTCAGCAAACGCTGAGTCAGCGACCAGCAAGACCGATGTCAGATGTAACGTCAGAGACCGATGTCACCAAGCGAACTGCGCACGCGCGCGCATTCCGGAAGTGGTGTTACAGCCATGCTACTTGTAGTCATCGCTTTCTGGCTTCCCGGCTGCTTAGGGCTTTGGGGCGCATACATTATCGTACATCATCGTTTGGGACGCCCCGGTATCCGCTAGGATTTTCCTGCATGTCTGTACATCATAAGATTATGTTGTTTGTGGTGGCTTAGTATGTCAGCAAGTGGGAAAAAGTAGTTCCAGTCGTCTTATCACTTTAGAATTGCCTTGTCGTGTGCTTCTTCGTTTTCGGGAATGCGTGAACCCACTGCGTTTACGCAGTGGTCCCACTGTGGCCACAGGTAGAACAACGACACCACTGCACGAGCACACCGGCTGCTCGGACGTCTCAATGAACTTGGAAACGAGTGAACAGCTACTGTAATATCCCGAGTCGTTGCCCACTCCCCTGCCGCCTGAAATTCATAAAAAAAAGTGGGGTGGGCTGTGTTTTGGTGGGTAAGCACTAAAAGTTTAGTAAAAGCTAAAAAAAGCCAATCTTGTTTTTTTTACATATCTAGCACGGCTGCATAAGAGTACATCAAACTCAAGACTCAAATAGACCTATTGCTATATTACGCAAGCACCGAGGAGAGTGCGAGGATTGGTGCTCCATGCGCCGCACGTGCTGGCCTCAGCAGTAGTAAATTTCCTAAAGCAAAAACCTTAAACAAATTCTATCTTGCAGGCGCGTTCGTCAATGCTTTATTTTGCTTATTTACTTTGAATCTTTTATACGGGGAAGGCGTGCGCGTGTGGCGCGTGGAACACCAATCCCTGCATTCTCCTTGATGCTTGGGTAATATAGCAAATGGTCTATTAGTTTCATTGTTTAATGCAAGAAATTCTTATGAAAGAATGCTTTACTATCGCAATGCCGGTTGCTTGCACACACGTGACGAACACTGTCGACCAGCATAAGGCGCAAACGTTTGCTTCGTGAAAGCATGTTTCTAACACCGTTATTGTTGTGTCTTGGAAGTGGGACACCAGCTGAGTAGTAACAACAACTTGGTTTTATTGACAGCCAGCCGTAAGACCGCGCATACCGCTGGTCCTAAAACACTCCCCCGTGTCAAAAGCCGTGCTGTGCTTATATCAGCAAAGAGGACGAGAGGGAAGGGGGGCGGCGCCCTAGCTTAGACACGTGGCGATGACATAGCTGATTGCTATCGGAATACAAACACTACATTCCCCCTTCCCTAGATGATGCTTTAAATACACAAGTTAACACTTAGAACTAGAACGGTTTTGCTTTTAAACAGAGATAATTGGAAAAGTTAACAGTCCAGGACACAAAACCACAAGGTGCGTAGGCACAGTCACTGCGTTGGTGTGTACCGATCTGGTGGACGTCTTTCCCTTGTTGGGTACCGAGATCGCGTGGAGGTTCCGCTGCTCCTGTCACCTGGCGAAGGCCCTGCGTCGTGATCTGGGTCCTCAGAACCGGGTGGTTCTGGGTCGCCTCTTGTGGAAAACTCTCTTGTGTCGTCAGCAGCTATGGCCGGTGCTTGATCATGGAGTTGCCCGGCGCACGGTTCAGTACCGGTCGCCGATTCCGACGGTTGCCAGGGAGCCTCACTACGGTCGCAGTGATTGTGGTTGGCAGACGTTGTCTCTCGGTCCGCCTCCCTTGGACGTATGTGGTCTTGATGCCTCTTCCATTCCATGACCCCACGTGGTGTAGTCACCTGTAACACGTAAGAGACTGGTCCCGTGCGTGATGTCACCATCGCCTCCAGCCACCTTGGACCTTCTCTAGAGTTTTTCACAAACACTCTGTCACCAATGGCGAAGAATCTCCGAAGTTCTTTTCGACCGCGTGTCTGTTGGAACTGTTTTTGTTCTACCACTGAACGAGCACTGGGCTTCAGTAAATCCAGACGGGTTCTAAGGGGTCGCCCCATCAAAAGTGAAGCCGGAGAGTGCTGGGTAGTTGCATGTGGCGTATTCCGGTAAGCTAGAAGAAAACTGGCCAGTCTCTCTTCAATTGATCGGCCTTTGACGTCCTTGCGAAGGGCTTCTTTCACTGTTCTGACGAATCTCTCAGCCAACCCGTTGCTTGATGGGTGATAAGGAGCGGATCGCGCATGTTTTACCCCGTTCATTTTGAGGAATGACTGAAATTCTTTACTGCAGAACTGCGGCCCGTTATCTGACACGACTACCTCTGGCAATCCAAAACGGCTGAAGAGGTCACGCAGCTTACCAATGGTGGCTTCTGCCGAGGTCGAGGGCATCAGGAACACCTCGGGCCACTTTGAATGGGCGTCTACCGCCACCAAAAAATTGCGTTGAAGAAATGGGCCAGCAAAGTCCAGGTGGAGCCGGGCCCAAGCCTTGTAGGCCAAGCCCACGGATGAAGGGGAGCTTGGGTAGGCAGCGCCCGTTGCTGCTGGCAGGCCGCACACGTTTGCACGGTGTTCTCCAGGTCGGCGTCAATTCCTGGCCACCACACGTAGCTGCGGGCCACTTCCTTCATCCGCACCACGCCGGGATGTCCTTCGTGCAGCTCGTCCAGGATTGTCTTCTGTAAAGATGGGGGAACCACAATGCGCATTCCCCACAACAAACATCCTCGGTCCACCGACAGCTCCAGATTTTTCGAAACGAACGGCCTCATCCCTTCATCCGTAACGCGCTCGGGCCATTGTCCTGTAACCGCGTGAAGTACCTGACGTAGGGTCGGGTCTCGTGAAGTTTCCCTCGCGACGTCGGAGTTTGTTATAGGGAAAGTTTCCCACCGAAGTGCGTAACAGGCGGTTACTTCGTCGTCGTCTTCCTTTTCGCCGCTCCGGGGAAGTGGTAGACGCGACAAGCAGTCTGCTTCTACGTTGCTTGCGCCCGAACGGTAGATCAGGTCGTAACGATAGGCCGACAGCTTAATGGCCCACCTCTGCAAACGGGCTGCGGCAATGCTTGGTATCCCAGTCTTCGGGCCGAAAATCGTCTGTAGAGGCTTGTGATCAGTTACCAAGCCGAACTGTCTGCCATAAATGTAGTAATGGAACTTCGTAATTCCGAAAACTAAGGCTAGCGCTTCTCGCTCTAGCTGACTGTAGTTCCGCTCACTCGGTGATAACGTGCGCGATGCAAACACGATCGGCCGTCTGGACCCATCTTTTTCCACTTTCGCTAGAACAGCGCCCAACCCGTATGATGAAGCATCACACATTACCTCAAGCTGGGCTTCCGGATCATAATGTGCCAACACCGGCGCTTTTACAAGCAATCTTTTCACTTTCTTAAACGCCAGATCACACTGTTCACTCCAGACCCACGGCGCATTTTTGCAAAGCAGCTGATTCAGCGAGAATATTACCGTCGATAACTCCGGCAGAAACTTTCCGTAGTATGTTACCATGCCCGTAAACGTTCTCAGCTGCTTTTTATCGATTGGAACGGGGGCTTCTAGCACGGCCTTTACCTTCTCCGGCGTTGCTGATATTCCATGTTTACTGATAACGTGACCCAGAAACTGCAATTCCGGTTTCAAAAATTCACACTTCTCTGCCTTAATCCGCACTCCCCTTTCGTGCAACCGGGTTAGTAGCGCATCTAGGTTTTGAAGGTGTTGTTCCGTCCTGTCCCCCATTATCAGAATGTCATCTAGATAACATATTACCCCCTTCAGTCCCTTCAACATGTTGTCCATAATCTTTTGAAAAATCGCGGGCGCAGACGCAACTCCGAATGCTAGGCGATTTACTGCGAACAGTCCCTTGTGCGTATTGAGTGTGAGGTACTCGCGGGAAACCTTGTCCATTACCACTTGCTGGTATGCTCTACTCAGGTCGATCTTGGAGAACACTTGTCCTCCCGCGAGAGTGGCAAAGATTTCTTCAATCTTGGGTAAGGGATAGTTGTCAATGTTCAAGCACGGGTTCAACGATGCTTTATAATCCCCACATATGCGTACGCTGCCATCTTTCTTTACCAGTGGTACAATTGGGGAGGCAAAACGACTGTTCGAAATTGGTTCAATTACTCCAAGACCAACCAGCTTTTCCAGTTCTTTCTCCACTGCTTCTTTCAGCGCGAACGGAATGCTTCTAGCTTTACAGAACTTCGGCTGCACTTCCGGCTTGAGAGAGAGCTGAGCTTGCTCACCTCTAATCTCGCCGAGTTCGTCGTTGAACACTTGGGGATGCCGGTCCAAGACTTGTCTCAAGGCCTGGTTGTCTTCTGCATCCACGTGGTTAAGGTTACTCCAGTTGAGCCGGAGCCGATGAATCCAGTCTCTTCCTATGAGAGCAGGGCCCTCCTGGCAGAGAACGTGCAGAGGCAGCTGGTAAGGCTGGTGCTGGTGCTCCACGGTTACCGTCGCCACACCCTTCGGGCGCACGCACTCTCCTGTGTACGTACGCAGCAACACCGTAGCCGGCCGTAACTTTATCTGCGGAAAACACGACCGAAAAACTTGATGCGACATCACAGACACTGCTGATCCCGTGTCCAGTTCCATTTTAAGCGGCACTCCCTGAACACACATCGTAAAGCATATGGGTCCATGACGGGGTTTCTCGAGCGTTGCCTGAAGCAGTGGCTCGACGTCCTCCTCGGTCTCGAACACGGCGAAGTTTTGTCTCCGGGCGTCTTTTCGCTGTGTGTCTTGACCTTGCGCTCTCGAAGGTTGGAAACTAGACGTCGGTTGTGAGTGGCACACTTTCTGAATATGCCCAACTTGGTGGCATCTAAAACAGGTTGCTGTTCGGAATCGGCAAGCACGGTTACGATGACGCAAGCCGCATCGCGTGCACGGTGAACCGTCCCGTGCCCAACCTCCTTCCGCAGAAAACTTCTGGAAATCCTCCTTGACTGCCCTGCTAGGCCGGCACTCTGTTACGTTCTTAGTAGCTGCCTCTACTGATAATGTGATCTCTACCGCCTTTTTGAAAGTCAGAGACACGTCCTCAACAAAAAGCCTCTTTTGAATGTCAGTCCTGGCCAGCCCACATACAAATCTGTCTCTCAGAGTTTCTTCGAGGTTCGCTCCGAAGTTGCATGTTTCTGCCGATTGCTTAAGGCCCGCCACGAACTCCGCAATACTCTCCGTTTCTTGTTGTGTTTTTCGGTGAAACTTTGCTCTTTCCGCGATAACTGATGGTCTGGGCGAAAGATGCTCTCGTAATGCTCTCTGCAGATCCGACAACGGCTGACTAGCCGGCGTGCTCGGGGCGGTCAAACTTTTCAATAACTTGTATGTCTTCGGACCCACAATACTCAGGAAGGCATCTACTTTGTTGGCGTCCGAGATCTTATTTACTCGTAGGAATGCATTAATCCTTTCTTCGTATGTTTCCCAATCTGACTGAGATTCATCGAAAGGTTCTACTTGCCCAATCGTGGCCATCCTGGATGCTTCCGAGTGTGGTCCTTCTTGGACGCCTGGTTGATTCTCCGTCTTAACGGTCCCCGTCGAAGTGCTCATCAGTCTGCGTCATCCCATCTTCGTCGCCAAGAAGTTGTTGTGTCTTGGAAGTGGGACACCAGCCGAGTAGTAACAACAACTTGGTTTTATTGACAGCCAGCCGTAAGACCGCGCATACCGCTGGTCCTAAAACACTCCCCCGTGTCAAAAGCCGTGCTGTGCTTATATCAGCAAAGAGGACGAGAGGGAAGGGGGGCGGCGCCCTAGCTTAGACACGTGGCGATGACATAGCTGATTGCTATCGGAATACAAACACTACAGTTATGATCTCTTTGTTAGTAAAAAAAAGAAAAAAAAGAGGAGTCGACAAGGAAATAGAAGAAAAAACCAACCAGACACAGTGAGCGAGCGAACGAAAGAAGCGACGAAGAGCGATGCTGGGGAAGCAGGAAAACCGGCGTTCGTGTTGCCAAATACTTTGGCGTAGTGTCAAGTTGGGCAACATGTCAATCACAAGGAGCCGGCTCTTTTGCAACTTTCTTGTTTGGTGCATACATGCATGTTATCAACGTGGGTTGAGGCAGTGTTGCTGCGTCGCATGGACGGCACCGTGGACACGGAGCTCGAAATGGGACACTTTACAAACGTCTGTGTGCGGCGCTCCAGCAAATCTTATTTTACCCGTTGGCTTTGTTTCAAACATCGCACCAACTGCGGTTGCGACATTCCGGGAAAGGGATCGGTTTTACAATGAGCTTACTTTGGTGGAGACTGTCTTTGACCTTGCACCCTGCGGCTACATTCCAGGATAATGGGGCGTTCGCTGACCTTGCAATCCCTGAATGCTTGTGTTATTTTTCTGTCTTTTTCCTTTCGACTGTGGAAGTTTTTTTCTGCGGTCTCAATTAGTGTTAATGCAGAATTAGTAACGCCAGCCTAACAGACCACCACAAGGTGGGTGAGGTTCGTTTGCTACCTTTTTGGTGGCAAGTGTTGCACTTCTAAATTGCATTATGAAATGTTTTCACCTATTGTTTGAAAAAAAAATGAAGACTGCTTTCGAAAAAGTTGTTTTATTTCGAGTGATGCACATCGGGAATCGCTGCTCTTTTTTTAGTGATTGTCCCGATCTTTTGAAGCATAGTTGAGCTTCAAACATGTCGTCGCAATAACAGTTATAACTACCAAAATACATTGAGCAAAAAGTATGTTAAAAACGGTCACTGCCAAGCAGTGCGGAGGTCCCGATTGAGATAGACCAACGGATAGACCGCTACAGAGCGAGTGCTCAGGGAGATTCCAACGTACAAAACACTTTGGCACGCCCAACTATGTATTGTGCCCTGTAATATTACACTCTTGAGCTAACGCGCAATGGGTTGGATATAAATTATGGAGCAAATCATGAAACAAATCGAAAAACACTTTTTCTCGTGCCGCTCCGTCTGGCTGTGTTTACCTTTCTTAACCATTCTTTTCTTTGGCTGTTTCCTTTTGAGAAGACGTAAATTCCTATGCCTTTTTGCCTGGTGCCGTTATTGTAGCACCCTGGCACACGAGTGAAGCCACCCATTGAAACCCGCGAGTAAACACCCAATGAAAAGTCTCATGCTAACCCGAAAATTTCCAAACGCCGGGTGCAACACGAATTGACACAGCCTAAATACTGGGAGAAAAAGAGGTACCAGAATGCGCCGCGCAACTCCTGGTGAGATCGGTCTATTGCCAGACCATTGAGCAGTTGCCGAGCCACTTGGCTATTCTTAAAGTGCTGAACGGTCGTGAAGCCCTTGAGCAATTGCTGAGTTGAGCGATTTTTGAAATGCTGAACAGTTGCAAAGGCATTCAGCATTTGCCGAATCGCTGAGCAATTTTTGAAATGCTGACCGGTCTCCAAGGCGCCAAGTGATTTTTCAAAGGCTGGGCAAGTGCCGAGTAACTGGCTCAGCTTTTGACAGCAGTACAGCAGTCGCTGCTTGAATCTGTCGAGATGTCTTCGGAGTGCCAGGTCTCTCTCCGTCTGCTCTCGCAGCACCGCGTGGTGGCGGCCCCGGTGGCGGAGCCGCCTCCCAGCCCCGCCCACAGCTCGCCCTCCAAGAAGGGAGGGGGCAACACGCGCACCCGCCATGTGTCGTGGCCGGACCCCAGCAAGCCTCGGCGCCCCATGAACGGGTTCATGCTCTTCGCCCAGAAGCACCGGGGGGAGTACTCCCACCTGCACCCGGGCAAAGACAACCGGTGAGGACTCCCTGCCTCTGCCTTTCCCTGTGCCTCGCAGAATTTTGGACTGTTTCAGCGTTCTCAGAATGTACCCTTGGCCGTGTTTCTTTCACTGCACAAAGAAGCTACGCATCGCCGAACGCCGGGTCTTGGCTTAAACGTGGCGTCGGCAGTTCGGACCAGCTGCCAAAGTTTCAGAGCTTGCCGTTATCGGATTAAAAAGCTGGAAACAGTTTCTGGCAGTTTTCAGGTAGAAAATTGCGACCCACGAATACGAGGACACGAATGGCATCTGCTGTCCGGAAAAGGCCCTATTTTCTCGTTGATAATTTAGGAAAATTGCTTATAAATTTTTTTTGCAGTAATAGCAAGCTCTGAAATTTTGGTGTCCGTCTTCGACCGCCAGTGGCACACTTAGAAGGAGGCTAAATGGTTAAAAATGTGTAGCTCATTTTCGTGGTGAGGAAAATGTGGTTCCCTTTTCTCCCAGACACCCGGTACGAGACGTGATGCACTCAAAGGAACGTGCAGTTCTTAATGACGTTTTGTCGTTTTGAATAACAGACACCAGCTTTATTCAATCTTGGAGGCATCTGCAGTGCCGAGAAAGGCACTGGTGCAAATGTGTGCCTTTGGAAAGTGCCTTCAATGCACAAGTTCTCGTACAAAGGAAGCATTCTGCCAAGCTAGGCTCACGTGCCTGTGCCTTTGTGATCACTGTAGATACCTGTTAGGCGGAGTGTAACTTGTTTTGTGAGTATTGTAAGGTGTAGTCAATGCCTTTGAAATTTACCTAGAGTAAAATGCTAGAAACCTGCTGACAAAGTTAGTAAACTTTGTTGGTAACTTTGGCTTTTTTATTTTATGGCATACTAACTGTTCCTGTTGGTCTTAGTGCTGCTTCTTACTGCATTTTCTTATCTGCATATTTTTTTGCACTATTGCATTTTGGGTCATTCCATGCCAAACGTCCCAGACGTTTTTGCACTTAGCCATTTATGATTTTTAAAAGAAAATTTCTGGCTTTTCACACCAAGGTCTTGAACCTTTCCCTAAAACGTTTTCGGCGAAAACATTTTTTTTTTTAAAGGAGCTGTGCAACGATTTTAGCATTGAAAGAATTGGCATCTTCTACTTTTGAGATTGTTCATCTTGTCACAAAGAACAGAAAACACACCTCCTTCCTTCGAAATGTTGCGATTCCGCCGTGTAATCGCGAGGCAAAAATTAGAATATTCCCCGACCTGCAGCCGCGAGCGGCGGCCATGAGAAACGTGTCATGACATCAATGGGGGTTTTGTAGAAAGATAGCAAGTTGTGCGAATAGCTGCTCGATAAAAGGTAACTTTTCTATAAATCTTGTCGTTCCAACATAAATATAAATGCTTCAAAAACCTGGTACCATCGACAAAACTTTTAGTTTTAGTGGCGCCATCTATCCTAGGTCCACAAAACCCAAAACCGTCAGCTCTATCTGCTACCGCAAACAGCCACCGGAAGCCGGAGGGGGAGGGGGACAGAGTCGGACGGGTATAGCCGGACCCGTATGAGACTTTCCTCCTTTCACCATATTGTTCGCGCTGCACCCGCCAGCGCGTGGTCACGCGGTCGCGAGCAGACGAGTTCTCGCTGTTCACTGGTGGCTCGAGAGAGAGAGCTTCACCATTGACGTCACAGCGCACTTGACTCGGAAGATGGTGAAGGAGTTGAGAGGTGCCAAAAACCCCAATCTTCGTTAAATTTTAAAATAAAACCTAGGACATGTAGGCAAAAGCGGTTTTTTGTTTTTTTTACTTCAGAAAGGTTGAGGCTCTAACTCCCAAATTATTAAGCAAAGCACTGAAACTGTTGCACAGCTCCTTTAAAGGGGCGCTGCAAGCACTTTTTTACTGGTTTTTATATTGCACCGAACCTGAGCGCACTGACCGTAGTAACGTAATGAAACTTTTCTTTCTCGAATTTCGCTTTATTTTAAAAGTTTTAGGCAAATTAGAATTACAAAAACAAGCAAAAAATAACTTCCCTCATGACGTCCTTGGTTGCTTGAGTGGACGTGAACTAGAGGAGGGCTAGTGAGCTCAGCGAGTGCTCACGGCTGCCGCACTCCGTGTCAACGGCTCGAGAGGGCGCCACTAAAGCGTGTTCTGGATAGGTTGTATACAGCGGGCAGCCAGAGCGGCTCTCATTCCATTTGCTGCACAATTAAACACTAATTCGGCATGACATTTCATTGGCCACAAACGACAGCAAACACGGTGTAAAGATCAGTTCAGAATGGAAGCCACTTCGCGCTGCCGTACCGCGAAACGGCCAAACCGCAAGACAGAGCTGCTCGCTGAAGGGCTTGGAACGGTCGGAGCCGGTCGGATCTTCCAGTCCGTAAACGACCGCAGCGCAGCCGCGTACATCCGGGACCTTTCCGTGTCGGCTCCTGATCTCACTACTCCTTTCTAGTATGCGCCGCCTTTTCCACCACTTGGTGGCGGGTATGTCGACGGGTCATTTCTTGTTTCCATACTTTATAAACTGCATTTGTTTCTTTTCTGATCTAAAGTACTGAACAAAAACTACTTTTATGAATAATTGAAATGGTTCGCGCCACTTATATTTTGTATTTCGACTAAAAAGAAGTTTTTAGTGGCTCTGACCAGTAGTAAGCCCAGGACCGAAGACGTCACATATCGCGCGCTTTCGGCACCGCGGGTCACCTCCGTAGGTGGAGGAGGTTTCCGCGTCGTCCGCTTAAAATATGATGCACTGATATTTAGTTGCTCTCTCTGTGCCCGCTGGCTTGCCCGAACCGCAAGAGACGTGGAAAACGCAAAAAAGGTAGACGCATAAATATGATTGCAGGGCCTCTTTAATGGCGTGAACGTGGCTTTCATCTTTAAAACTGGTGTAAGGCTAGGCATTATTTAATAATAGAGTAAAATTCAAGACTTTTTTCGAAATGCTTAGCAATTTGTTTTTTAATTTCATATGACTCTTATCTTAATATGTCATGATAATTACTAAATTTTTATTGTTAAAATATTGAAAGCAAATCAATAAAATGCAAAAAATAGCACTTGTCTAAATTTTTTGCATGCTTATCGCTTTGCACCTGGCAATTATAACTCTTTTTATTGAAAGCCCTGTGGATGTATTACAACTGAAAAATATTTGAAGCCGTACAACCAGATACTTAGGGAGAAAAAAATCTGAAGTTGTGAAAAAGCCAGTTTTGCTGCATAAACAGCCGTTTATTCAGCTCTGAGGTTCTTCAAACAAAGATACAGAGAATAACAACTTTAGAAGAAGAGTTTATTTCCTTTCATTTCTGAAAGTTTAGTCAAGATACAAAACTTTTTTCTAAAGCGAGAAAAAAAAAAAATATTGAAGTTGAGCTCCTGTGTTTACACTCCCAACCATTGCTGGTTAAGAGTGTGATTTTCACGCATGCACAATTTTTTTACTCACAATTGCCTTGCGTATGCAGTCACTGTTTACGGCTAAAGACGCACCGTGGTTTGCCACTGCCGCTTCCACTGATCCTTCTTTTCAGAACGCTTTGCAATTTATTTTATGAAATTAAAGCGGCTTTTAGCTCGCTGTGTTGAGATGATTATGCAATTTTATTGTTAAAATATCTTTTCTTTAAATTACACGAAATGCAAAGAAAAATTTCACTTTTTTTGTTGTTGATTAATTATTACTTTGCACCTGGAGATTGTAAATTTTTGTATTCTTAGCCTCGTAAATGTAAAACAAAATAATGAACAAAAATATTTATAAAATTGTAAAAACGCTTGTTTTGCTGCTGCAGCCGTTTATTCTAAGTAAAATCCAAGTAAAAATATGAAAAATAGCGACTTTAGAAAAAGAGTTTATTGCCTTTTATTTCTGAAAGATTAATCAAAATTATTTTTCTAAAGCGAGAAAAACGATATTGAAGTAGCTCTCAGCGTCGCAACCTGGCATTTTTCTTTAGCGCCTCTTCACCAGACTGCACGCCACCTGACACGAGAGCTTAGAAGCTTTGCGCGCACTTGAGTGCACACACGCACATTTTTTTACTCCCAATTGCCTCGCGTACACAGCCACTGTTTACAGCTGAAGACGTCCTGATACGTTTACGTGACATCTATTCGAGCGAAAGTTGTAATAGTACATTGATTTATCTGCGGTTGACCCGATTCGCCTCTCGCCTGCCACTACATCAGCACAAAAAAAGTTTTTAAAGCTGAATATACTGGTTTGGATACAATACTGGCTTGTGCCATGAAAGACCTGACCTTTATGTGCCCAAACCATGTGAATAGGTAAGAGTGCTTTCTTTTAGGCGCAGTGTGTACCATCAACATTTCTGGTTGGTTTGCAGAAACTGAACTTCCTTCGTGCTCTCTCGGTGCAAGTGGTTGCCACGAAATCACGCAGGCCAATGGCGGTCCCTCATTGATGTTCGGGACCTGACGGACACGGATGGACGGCACCTTCCTCTTCGCTCAGGGGCCCTGAGCGAAGAGAAAGGAGCCTTCGATCTGTGTCCGTCAGGCGACACATTAGCTATGAGTAAACAAGACACAGCTATACTCCGAATTTAGAAAATAAAACAAGCAAAATTTTCTACATAGCCTCATTAGCATTCGCTAGAACCGCAGAAGGACTTGCCCGTGTGTAGCGACCTGCCTCATACGTCAATAGGGCGCCGTACTCCGACAAAAAATAAGCTTTCTTGGTCAGATTCCCGATTACAACTATTCAGTGGTTGTTCGAAACAATACCCCTTGTTTTTCTGCCCTTACCGTTGGTCCTCTCCTTTCAAAACGCCAGTAGGGACCTCACTCTATCGTTTTCGCGTTTCCTGAAGAGAAGGAGTTTCGTCCTCGTCAGGCGACACCGATGCCGTTAGGCATTGAGTTTCGGAGTGAGGAGAGCTGACATCGGTAGAAAGGGCACGACGGGCCTGCTATGTAGTGGCGGCACGTACGATTGCGACATCGTACACACTGTTGTTTAAAAATAACGAGTAGAAGCGGCCGCAGCAAGCCACGGTGCGTCTTTAGCCGTAAACACTGACTGGATACGCCAGGCAATGGCGAGTCAAAATTGCACATGCGTAGAACCGTTTGCAAAAGTCACACTCCTGACCAGAAATTGCTTTGCGTGCGCGCAAAGCTTCTTGGCTCGCACGTCAGGTGGCGTGTTGTGCGGTGAAGGGGTGCTAAGAAACAGTGCCAGGTTGCAACGCGGGAGCTTAACTTCAAATTTTTTTTTTCTCGCTCTAGAAAAGGATTATTTTGATTAAACTCAAAAATTAAAGGCAATAAACTCTTCTTCTAAAGTCGTTTTTTTTAATATTTATACTTTGACCACCGTAGGGTAGAATAAATGGCTGTCTAGGCAGCAAAACTTCAGAATGTTTTTCCTCTTAAGTATTTTGTTGTATGTCTTAAAAAAAATTTCATTCGTAATACATCTCCAGGGCATGCAATAAAAAAAAGTTATAATTACCAGGTGCATAGCGATAATTAAACAAAAAAACAAATTGATGAGGTGCAGCTTTCTTTTTTTGCAATTTGTTGAATAAAAAAAAATGTAGAAAAAAGATATTTCATAATAATTGCAACATAGCAAGTTGAAAGCCATTTGAAAATCATAAAATGAATTGTGAAGCATTTATGAAAAAAGATTTTTACTCAATTATTGAATACATAATTTTACGCCCATTTTATAAGTTAAAACACCCTTATGCAACAAGTAATATATTAGGAAAAGGTTAAGGATCTTAAAGGTACACAACAACCCCCAAAATGTTCTAAAAATGTTTTGCCAGGCGATTTAATATGGTGTCAAAAGGCTACCCAATCAGCATTTTGCTACAGTGTCGCATACACTTTTAATCAAGCCAAAAGACGCAACTGCCTGGAACCGAAACTGGACTGGGGAGGAAGAAGAAATGGAGAGGAGGAGAGGGCTGCCAGAAGTCACATAACTATACCCAAGCACATTTTCTTTTTTTCCTTCGTTGTTTTGGTTGTGCGAGGCAGAAAAAACATTTACACGTCGCAACGAGAAACGCCAAAGTCAAGTACTTTGTGCTTGACATTTGCACGTTTTTTAAGCTCTTACCAATTCGTTTTCGTAAGACGAGCAATGTCTTGAGCCATCACTCAACAATGTCTTTGTGCAAATCAGCTCAGTCGTAAGGCGTGTTGTACGGAATAAACTCAAATTGTTTTCATCAGTAAACAATTTCTCTTTCGAAGCTAGACAGATTCCCCGGAACCGCGAACAACAGTTCTGAAGTAGAGGTCCCACACCCGTCGTCCGCCTACATCGCTTAGTTTGTTCCGTTCAGCCGTCCAACCCGCGACCTCCGCAATACAACGCCATGTTGAGAATCTCGCAAACATTGCACAGAGTGCTTTCAATTCCCTGTGCAACCTCTTTTTTTTTTTTTCCATTAATTTATTTGCAGCATTTTAGAAGCCACAAAAAATGGGTATCATATTTTTTTCTACTTTAATATTGAGTGTGTGCCTTCAATGACCCACGGCTCGAATATATTCGGTGGTTGTGTCTAAACCTCAGAGGATGGCACGTGACCATGCAGAAGAAAGTGAGCACGACTCAAACCGGGCAGTTCTCGGTCGGCAGTTTTAGGGCAGAAAGAAAACGAATTTCGAGCCACAAATTGTGTTTTGGGTAGCTGGGCTCTCATATGTCATGTACAAATAAAAACCTTGGCGTGCATAAATACCCTGTCAGTGTCCCTCTAAATAAAAAGCCACAATTTTTTTTTTTTTAATTGAACAATGGTTGAGCACAATGTTAGGGACGTTTGGAATGCCCTTTTATGTATGACTTCCATGCAGATTGTTTTGTTGCTGTTCCAGTGTGCCACTGAGTAAGCCCCTTGGCTCTTTGTGGAGACCTTGAGATCGTTAAATAAATACTTTAAAGTGCTATTTATGTACAAACTACTCTTGCCAACACCGGACAGATGAAAAGAAATACAGTGTTGTAACATGCCGAGAATATAAAGGAGCTGCTTTTACCCAAATCATGCTAAGTAAGTCTCAGTGCTTCTAGACCAGGCACAGTTCCTTTCCTCCCTCCTTTTTGGTTCGTGGACCACGATAACCCGTCCTAAGGGGGTCCAGTTCTGGTCCTGGGCAATGGCGACAGGTTTCTTGGCTGCTGATTGGACATGGCGTTGCAATTTTCTGCTGGGCGAGTGTTATCGGCTAATAAGAAATTTAATATCGGTTTACGAGTGGGCAGCATTTTGGTAAGAATTTCTCGCCAACACACGAATGGCGAGAGAGATCTCGCAGCCTCCGACGTGCCGCTCCCGCATGCTCCTTCGTCCACCAGCAGATTTCGGCTTTTGTACAGCAACGGAGCAACTTCAGGTTTAAAAAGAAAACCTGGATTATTGATTGCTTCCAACGCAGAACAGCAGACAATCGGAGTTTTAGCCGGCATCCGGTATCACTTTATTGCAGCGCTCGTTTTTTGCAGATGGTTTTCGACTCTGCGAGTAGACGACTGTATTTCCTCGTTTTATTTGTCTGACACCTCCCGTAGTCAGTGGCAAGTTGAGAACGGGAGGGAGGAGCTTCGGTCATGCGTGGCAAAAGCTTCGCACCTTCGACGACGCTTTGGCATCTCGAGCATGCAGCCGAAGCACGGCGAAAGGCACGAAACGCGTGCTAGAGGCAGGCACACCCCATCCTTCGCTCGCGTTGGCAGACGAACTGTCTGTGAACGTCATTCCCCGTTTCGTCGGAGCCAAATTAAGTCTCACGGCGACCGAAATCGGACCCCAGGTGCGGACTGATGGCTTGTGCGGCGCCGTCTCCCTCGCAGGGCCATCAGCGTGATGCTGGGCGACCAGTGGCGCAAGATGAAGTCCGAGGAGAAGAAGATGTACTCCCAGGAGGCCAAGGTGCGGGCGGACGAGGTGAAGAAGGTGCACCCGGACTGCTGGAAGCGCAAGCGCTCCTACTCCACCAGCCTCTGAGCCGCCCCCTTCTCCGACCGGCACGCCGGGTGCAAACCCCGCCCCCACCCGGTGCACGTCCGGTGCCGGGTCCCCGTCCGGAGGGGGCCGTCGCCGTCGTCGGCCGCCCGCGCACGCGTCTTCCCGTGCTTGCCTCGGCGGCCGACGCGCTTACAGACTGCCGCATTTCGGCTCGCCGCTTCGTCAAAGAGGCCACCTTGCGTCGGGGCGAGCAGATTCGGCAAGCGCGTGCTGTTGCGCGTTTGCGTCTCACTTTTGTTTCTCGTCTGCGTTTTCGTTTGTCGCTTTCCAAGTGAGGTTTTGAAGCCTTTTTTTGGGGGGGGGGGGGGGGGGGGGACATTGAAGAAATGTTTTAAAGCTGGTGCACTCATTTGCGTTTGAGCGGAACCGAGTGTGTTGTAACCCTTTCGTGACGGCTTGTGACGAGTAGAGCCTGTGCTCTGGAGTTGCTGATCGGGGTAGCTTTGGCCAACTTCCAATCTGCATATAGTATATTTCCCAAATTTCTTACTCGTTCCTCTTTTACAGGGGCCTCGAAATAAATCTGACAACGTTATGAGCAACTTTTTCTGATAGACAGCGAGTAGACCTGATCCCGCAAGTACCGCAAAAACTCTCCGCCTATGCTCCATTTCACGATAACTCGGCGAAATGTGGAGGCTGCGGCTCCCACGACCCAGTAAGAGCGCTCCATGGTCGAAACCACTAAGGCCTTGTTACCACCATAGCAGCAGCGCCATCCGCAACAAAACATTGTTTTCTTTCTCTTTTAACGGCAATTGAATGCAACGATTTCAACTCTATCGAGAATAGATTAAAAATAAGGAGTAAATTTATATTTAGTTCAAAGAAGTGACTAAAATCCGTATCTGCTCCCAATTTTTTCTGCTTGTAGAGGCGTGGCTGTTGGCAGTTGCAGCAGTGTGATCGACTGCTCCACTCAAAACATTACCCCGGCATTATAGCACCCGCCACAGACTTCTGGGGAAATTGAGCGTATGGTTGTCTGATAAACTCTTTTCGAAGAGCTCGTAACTCTTAGGACATGGCAATGTTGCGGCGGTGGACGTCCATCCCAAGTTGATTGGTTTCGGGGCAGACGACTCTTGGCCGGCAGACGACAGCCGGTTCCTTGGCACAGTGACACATACGCTCACGTGACGTGTTGTCATGTGCTTCGCTCCAACACTTTTATTGTGTCGCTTGGGCCGTAGCCTCAACAGTTTGCCAAGTTATCGTGAAACGGAGTATAGTTATGCGCAGATTGGAAAGGTTCCGGAGCTATCTAACAGATGGCGCTAGCGTACCAGTGTGTTTTCTCGTCGTAAGTGGTTACGGACGGTTAGGGTGGATATTAATAATCAATGCAATTTGAATTGTCATCTATATTTTGATTTCAATTGTAATTTCAGTCTGACCAGTTAAATTGGAACGGACTATGATAAGTTAAACCTTTTCGAAATATTCCTGAAAAAATGTTTATTTACCGTTTGTCCGTCATTTTATGCTTTCTATGTGCATTTTTGTTTTGTGTTTAAATAGAGCAATCATCATACAAGAAAAATTAATAAAAGACTAAACCATCAGCTATGTAATGTCCTATTGCAACAAAATCGGAATGCAGAAGAAAGAAATGAAATCTTGAAAAAGTAATGTCCTATTGCAGTCAAGTGAGAACTGTAAAAAAAAAAATCAAATGAAGTGTTTTAACCGAATTAAAAAACTTAACCTGTGTCTTCTAGTATGGCAATGACTACAGCAATGAAAAGTTGTCTATTAAATTGTAGTTTACATTTACAATAATTCTTTTCTCTGTATTGTCATCGGTGATCAGACGAATTGCTCAATGAATCTGCCATTTTGGAAAATACATTGGGGGTTAAGAATCACTATTTTCTAGCTGTAGTGATTTAAATTGGATTTTTATTTGAATCAAAGAGATCTGATTTATTTGACCTTTTCGAAAATTTGTGACTTTTTTCACCTTGCTTGCAATGCTGTCGATCATGCTCAAGCGCAAATGTGTGAATGAGCCTTTGAGGAGCCCCTGGAGAGATCTTAAAATGAGGGTTCTGTCGATTCAGCTGCCTGTCTGCTTTATGTTTGTTGTCTGCAGTGATCGTGAAATGCACTCGGTTCTTTTCTCTTCTTTTTTATGTTGATTCTACAAATGCACGCTTGCAAACATGCTTTAGCTTTCATTTTGTTGTTTTGTTGGTGCAGTGCTCGCTGTCGTTTGTGACGTCTGCTCGGGTAATCTCAGCGCTCGTCTGCTAGCGCCCGGCAGGCTAAAGTGCGTCTTTTGCTTTTTACTTTCAGAGGTGTGTTTTTCCAAGAGCTTCACGCACGGCTATCTCGTCGTTCTGGTTTCTCGCCCTTGTCGTCTCATATTTTTCTAGACATCCATTTTTAACAGGACACATATTTTTACTCTTTTTTTTGCTCGCAGTTTTGTGCTTGTCAGTTGTTGATGTTGCATCCTCCTGCTACGACTTGCAGCCCTTGTGCTCTTTGGGAATTTGAGTATACACTGTCGCTTGTAGGGACAAATTGTGCTACATCCAATGAACTGGGAACCTTTCTCGTCGGGCAGAAGAGCGGAGCACAAGGAGGCTAGTCAAGCACGTACCTTTCCCGTCTTAGTACAAATCATGTGTTTGGAGACCAGCGAGAGCAAGATTTTATATCCCAGAGAAGAAAAATGGACAATAAAAGAAGGGAGGGAACGGTCGTGTGCCAACGTTACCCGCAATCGTGCCAAAACAATATGCAATCCTGGGGGGAGGCTGTTTTCAGCATTGCACACGACAACTGCTCATCGTCTATCGAGTCACTCAGAGTATAGCGTTTGCATCAAACTGAATTGTTGGTCAGCTTATATTCTTTTAGTTGCTATTCACTTCGTGAGTGACATAGTTTATCTTGTTGCTGGTTTTAGGGCGATTCTGTTGTAAAAATCTGACCGACCACAACTGCACTCGCTTGCAGTTCGAGCGCAGGTAGGTTAACTGCGTATGTTCAGTTGGCAGACGGTCAGTCATAGATTTATTTTGTTTTCTGTCGAGATATACAAAGAAGGGTGCATATTTTTGGGGCACTCGCCAGTTTAGTTTTTTTTCTCTTAGCAATACTTGTTGGGGTCTTTTTTCCCTGTGTCGACAGAAACGGCAATTCTGTTGCCCTTTGCTCTTTCTGAGGAGCCCCTTTGAATGTCGTCTGCAAGTATGCGACACGGTGCGGTCCTTGTAACCGTAGCTTTTTTTGCTTTCGGTCTTTGTTTTCTTGTTCGCCGATGCAGTGTCGATCTCATTGTCACCTGATGACGTCCCCCGTGTTTCCATCACTGTCCTGTTCTTCCCCTCCGTTTCGCAGACAATTGAAAAGTGGCGATTGAAGGGAGTGGCTTTACGGCCGCCATTCAGGCTTTTTAGGGCGGCTTGGCTTGGCTTCGCCACTTGTGGGAGCAAGAGTAACGATTGCGGACTTGGAGTGGGATGTGATCGGAGTCACTGAAGCAATAGGGGAGGGCAACCCTGCGGGCCTCAAGTGTGAGCTGCCCCCGCTTGCGTGTTCTTTGTCTCGGAATGTTTTGGAACAAAGCGCTAAAGGTGTGTGTAGCATGTGTTATTGGAGGTCTGTGCATTTGCAGAGTCCTCGGTATCTAACGAGTTGGTTTTCCTAAGCATGCTTGAGCTCTCTCGGCGAGGGGATGTGGGAACCACAACCTGTTTTATGTGTCGAATGTCGCTATTTTTTTTTTTTTCTAGAGGTGTGGTATTTCTGTGCTTTTTCTATTTTTTTTTTTTTTTTAAGTGTTGATCATCACCTGGTGAACTCCTTGCCGCCCTTGCTGGTTTCGTATTTGTTTCCTCCTTTTTTGGTATTTGTCGGAGCTCCATATTGTGTGTTTTTTGTTTTTTGCATGTCTGCATGCATGCGCGCGCCAAATTATTGTTTTATTTGCTGGTTTGTTCACCACTAGTGGCAGTACTGTTACAGTAGGTGCCAGCCACACAGTGGGCATCCATGTGACTTCTCTCTATGCGTGTATTTGAATGTCACAATTCAACTGAAATAGTTTGTTCCGCCGGTTTTTTATGAGTAAAATTTGTGATCAGACTTCTGTTGAGTTTTCTGCAGGTGAAAATTTTTTCGTTTCAATGCGACCATGACGTCTGTACTTTCTTCATGCGTAATTCAAAATTGTGGAGGTGTCTCTCTTTTTTTTTTATGATTGATTTGTCAATAAATTTTTACGTTTCATACGAGTTACCAAGTCGTCCTCTCCGTGCGGCTTTGCGCGGGAACTTGAGATCATCGAAACATCGAAATCCCAACCAGGACACTGCGATGGTAGGTAAATAATATGAGAATTTCGAAATTTCATACGAAGTAATGGGTTGTGTAGTTTGAGCGCATGGTATTTGCAAGTGTTCTGACACTACGAAGTGGTTAAAAGCGCGAGCGTGCCACTGCAACTAACCGAAACGGCGGCGGCGCTACGCAAGCGAACAAAACAAAGTAATAAAGCGATCCAAATAATTCCATGTGCCACCACCAGGGGGCACTTTCATCTGCTTCCGAATTTTTATGCAGCAGCGTTTATGACGTGAAATTCCCTCGTTTGTAAGTATCTAAGTTCTCGTTATTTGTCGCGTTCAGCACGTTTACCTGTTACATGACTTTTCGCGAACGTAGTAAGACGTATAGTTCGCGCTCCGACGTAGTCTAGGGACGATGTTTTTGCCGTCATCGACTAGCAAAGCCGGCCGTAGTAGACGCGAGCGTGTGGCCCATGTTAGGCTTAGCTTTTATGGCGGCACCCTGCAAACGCCGGACGTCGGAACAATAGAATCTGGTCGATAATGCCGAACGTTGAGGGTTCAGCCGCGTGCACGAACTCCCCGTGTCGGCAGGAGCGAAGCCTCGCTGCGGAATGGTAGTACCGTGATCGTAATGTCGTCGTAGCGCGTACGCGGCGACTAGTTTGTTATCGTTTTTTGCTTCGCCGGTTGGTTGAGGCGCTTCCCTGCATGGCATGGCGGACTTGTACAAAAAAAAAAAAAAAAAAAAAAAGTAATCGACGGTTGTATTTGATTCTTTTGGTGGGGGACTAGGTTCTCAAATGACGTCTTTTTTGTGCTGCGTCGGGAACTCGTGCCTTGGAATTGTGGTTACTGATTCAGTGAGAGACGAGCGTGTTTACGTAATAGTTTTTTCGTTTGTGCGCGGAAACCGCTGCCGGCATGAGACGCGGCACGCGGCGAATTTGGTTTCGATGGTACGCGCGTAACCTTTTGAATGTTAACATTGTTGCGCGCGATTTGTTGGTCGGCCGATCGTTGTTTGAAATCGTGTGTCGATTTGTGGTGTGCATTATTAACCTGGTTTTTCTTGTTGCTTTTTTTATTTTTCTAGTAAATCACATTTGAGGCGTCTTTGTAAGAATTTTTTTCATTATTTCTCTTTCTCTATCTCCTTTATTCTCGCTGCTTGCCCCATATAGTCACTGAATCCCCGACGAGTGTCGCTTTTGAGAGTTAGTCTTTTTGCACCAGGAGGCTGCTGTGCTTTGGACCAGTCGCCCATGTTTGCCTTGAGCATGTGCCAGGCCACCCAGAGTTTAGTGTAGTTAAAGCCAGTACGGGGCCAGTGCAGGCACTTGGATCGCTGAAATTGAAATACCGGGTGTTTGCAAGAAAAGCGAACCGGGTGTTTTTCCCCACAAAAAAATTCATTGTGCGTCGCCGAACGCTCAGTTTCTGCCTAAATGCAGTGTGAGCCGTTGGGACTGGATGCCGAAGCTTCAGAACTTACCGTCGTCTGATTCAAAAGTTGTGAGCTATTTTCGGATATTTTTAATCGGGGAAATGGCGACCAACAGAGTCGACGCGTGCATAGAAATGAATGGCGTCTGATGACGGTACCAGGTCCTGTTCTCTCTTTGAAAATGTCAGAATTGCTTACAACTTCTAAACCAGATATAAGCAAGCTCTGCATCTTTGGCATTTAGCCTGGACCACTGGCACAACATTCGTGCAGAGACAGCTTTTGGTGACACATGGTGTATTCTTAGGGAGCGGGTTGTATTGCATACAAATTGTTATGTAAGAGTTACACATAAAGGACAGAACACAGTGGTAAATGCAACTTTTTCTGGTGGCTATTGGTCCAGAACACATGGTTAGCATGATGCATAACTGTAGTTGACTCTTAAACAATGCACATTTGTTTTGTAAGGTTCACATAGTTTTCTAAGCCCCGACATTAATAGCTAACCTCCCTCGGCTCGTTGGGGATGTCTAAATATTGCTCTTTAAGGTCTTCCCTGGCCTTGTGGACGGCGTTGCTCTTTTCGATGGGTGCGTTTCGGCTGGCGTGCGATTACTTCAGTGTTTTTTGGACTCACAAATTCGCATTGCATGGTCACATTGCAGTCATGTTATTAAAATTTACCTCTACCTGGCCCGCTAAAGTATGCTTACAAGGGCTCGCGCATGATCAGGTGGCTCACTCTGCAGCGAGGTTGTTCCTGTTTTGCTAATTACGGTCAGCTGAGTCTTAAGCACTGCTGGTCAGTTCACTTCCCTCCATGGTGTTCAAGCAGCAATTGTGGCATCGGAATTGAATTTGTTCAGTGCTGTGTTCAGGTTCCCAAGTTACGTGCCACGCTGCTAAAAACGCTAACCTGCAAAAAAAATAGTAATTATTGCAATGTTAAGTAATAACTTAAAGCCATGTTCTTACATTGTGTTCACTTGGAACACAGAACGAACAAGCATTTTTAATGTGCTTTTTTCACGGTTGAGATGCCATTGTCAAACTTGCTAGTATGGTGGACTGCCCCGTACCGACTTGGGCTCTAAAGGTTTGGCTTTGCCATCACCTTTAGGAGTTTTGGGCAAAAAAAAGGCAATACTGCGTTCGTGCCCACTGTGTTGCATAGTACGGAACATGCAAGCTGTCTTATCTAATGGAAGCGCTGCTGAACCGGTGGATCTGTGACTTGGCACACGATGGAATATCCCAAGACCCCTTGCTGAAGGCTGAACTAGGGACACTGCAGCAATTTTCCTGGTTGCACAATTTATTGCTTCACAATTCATACATGACCGCCAAGATGTACAGTTATTGGATGGCTCGTCGCATGTGCTGTGCTTTTTGGCTAGACATTTCTTTACTTGTGCAGCTACATAACGAAGGATGCAATGCCTACCAAATAAGCCGTTCAATAACTTTGGTTGCCACGTGTGCTCCTTGAGCGAGAGCATTGTGATTTTGGTCTCCAGCGACTGTCCTCTCCCGCCTGGGTCACCCCATCGTGTGCTACGTCACAGAGCCACTGGTTCGGTTGCTGCCACGACAGTGCTTTCATGAGACAAAGGCACAGTCTACATGACCCTTATAACAAAAAAAAAAAAAAACACAAAAATTAGGCAAAGGACAATTGAGAGGAATGTACACGACAAGCACTGACTTGCAACTGAATTTTAATAACATGAAACCCTCAAAACACAAAAACACCGCCAATCTTATGAATGTGATTGCAATCTTCAGGGTGTCTAGCGACCAGGAAAACCGGGAATTGTGAGGGAAATTTTAAATACCGGGAAAATTCACTGAATTGTCAGGGATATTGTCAAAAAGCCAGCCCAGTCAGGAAAAATGAGCGGGAAATGCCATCGAGTTCCCTAAGCGAGGACTTGGGGGCAGAAAAATGGGCAGTAAATCCTGCTTAGAGCAGAGCGCGGGCTCTGCTCACCCGATGTAGAGTGTGCTACCCGATGCGAAGAAAGCAGCTGACAAATCTAGTCCAAGCCTTGCCTTGGATTGGATTAGATTGGCTAGATCCAGTTAGAGCTACTAGATTTAGTAACAAATGGGAAAGCCGCAGACCCCAATCCAAGCCCTAGGCCAAAAGTATCCGAAAGTGTGCATCTGGCGGCCATGTTTTCATTGTGTTTCCGGAAGTGGCCTCTTTACTGACGATGTCGGCGGCAAGAAAGTGCTTGTTTAATCCAAACTGGATGAACCCGAATATTTTGGAATATGCAAGTTGGATTAAGCCCGTGCAAAATGGTGGTCTATAGTGGTCTGGGAATTGTACTGGAAATTGTTAGGGAAAACTTGGAAAAGTCAGGAAATTTCAAAGTAGTAATTTGCTAGACACTGAATCTTGCTTCGTAATAACGCTTGTAAACAATCTCGCAATATTGTAATCACATTGATAAGATTGGCGGTGTTCTTTGTGTTTTGGTGGTTCGAATGTTTCATGTTTCTTCTCATGAAACTTCAGTTGAAAGTCGGCGCTTGTAGTGTACATTTCTCTCACTTGTCCTTTGTCTAATTTTTGCGCTATTTTTGGTTGTAATGCATCACCAACTCGCCCAAGTTACCACTGTCCCGTATAAGTTTGGTGGCCGCTGCACAAGCAGTAAAAATGTTCCAAAAGGCGGCAGTTTTGTGCCAGAGGCGGGGCCGCTCCGAGTTTTCCCTTCGCATTCTCACATAGTCCAACAATTGATGTGTTACTCACAATGAGGCAGCTCATTCAGATAAATCGTGGAGTGAGGTGCTTCCACAAATTTTTCGTTTAAGTATGTACGCGCAAGTCTCGTTGTGTTGCGCATGAGGAGACGTGCGCGTGCCGTGCCCATGTGGCGAGAGGTTATCGTTACCAGTAGTGATAGGTCCTTTTTGTGTAACTGAATTCTCCAGTGTGAAATGTTTGACTGTGGCATTTCGTAAGTCTGTGCAGCAAAGTTTAGTTCCGACAGTGTGCTGAAAGGCTGGAGCCTCGCTGCAGTAGAGGTCTTTGGGTGTCGTGGGGAAAGTTGCCCGCCAGTCAGGACTCGCCCTGTCGAATTGGCCGTCTTTCTCGCCCCTTTCTGTGCTCCCAGGACTCTTGCCGTGGAGCCCCTCATAACCACCCCTCCCCACTTTGCTCTTTTGCAGCCAGTGAGTTTTTTTTTTACTGTTTTTTTTTCTCGTAATTTTTTTCTGTTTTTCTTGGCATTTTTTTACCGGCCCGCCTTTTCCCGACCACCTTCCTGCTGCCGCTGCCTGGACACCTGCCACCGCCGCCCGGAACACCCCAGCTCCCGAGGTCGAGAGAGGAAGCGCACCCTTCATTTTTTTTTGACGCCACGGCCAGCACCGGCCGCGGACGAACGAGAGCCTCGCACCGACTCGCGGGGAGCAAGTAACCAAGAAGCATCATGGAGGGCGACGTGGGCAACAGCCAGACGAACCTAATCATCAACTACCTGCCGCAGACGCTGACGGACGAGGAGTTCCGCAGCCTTTTCACCAGCATCGGTCCCATCAAGTCGTCCAAGATTGTGCGCCACAAGGCGACGGGCTACAGCTACGGCTTCGGCTTCGTCGACTACCAGAGCATCGAGGATGCGGCGCGCGCCGTGGGCACCCTCAACGGCCTGCAGCTTCAGAACAAGAAGATCAAGGTGGCATACGCGCGCCCCGGCGGGGAGACGATCAAGCACGCCAACCTGTACATCCGCGGCATCCCCAAGCACTACCCGCCCGAGCAGGCGGAGAAGCTGTTCGCCGACTTTGGCCGGCTCATCCAGTTCCGCGTGCTCAAGGACGACTCGGGCAGCGGCAACAAGGGGGTGGCGTTCGCCCTGTACGACCTGCGGGAGAATGCGGAGGCGGCCATGACGGCTCTGGGGGGCCAGACCCTGCCGGGGGCGACCGAGCCCCTGCTCATCAAGTTTGCCGAAGACAACTCGAAGAAGCTCCGCCCGCCGGGCAGGGGCGGGCAGCTGGTGGGCGGGGGGGGCGGGCCCATGCGGGGCCCCGCCCAGGGCCGCTACCGCTACAACCCGCTGACCGGCTCCTACCAGTACCCCATGGGCGGGATGGCCGGGGCCGCCGGTGCCGAGGGGGGCCACGTGCTCTTTGTCTACAATATTGGGACCGATACGGACGAAAAGTCGCTGTGGCAACTGTTTGCCCAGTACGGGTCGGTGACCAAGGTGAACATCATCCGGGACACCTCGACGGGCCTGAGCAAGGGCTTCGGCTTCGTCACCATGGCCAACTACCAGGACTGCGTGTGGGCCATCGAGGCGCTCAACGGGTTCCGCTATGCGGGCAGGCCCCTGCAGGTCTCCTTCAAGCAGCCCAAGTAGCAGCCGGGAACCACGCTGCGCCCCGCAGGCGCCCCCTGGCGGTTGGCCCCGTCTTTCTAGTTTTCTTCCGAGGACCGCTTCGCTTCGCTCTGCCCCTCCCCCTCACCGGGGAGGGTCATCGACTCGAGGCTGGTAGCGTTTTTCGAGTCTGGACATGCGCAGCCCATACTTGAGTGTTTTTTTTTTCTTCATCGTTTTGGTTTGTCACTGCGGCGGTGAATCTTTTTCCTCTCTCTTTCATAAGGTGATCGTGCGACACAAACAGTGCTGCAAACATTTTTATTTTTGAGGCAGCAAAATGTCACTTCTCCTGTCCTCCCAACTTATTTTTGCTTTCGTCACACATTAGCTGCCTAGCTATTTCCTTTTTTGTTTTCCTTTTTTGCTCTAATTTTTTCTTTGGCGGAGCAGCAGATTATCTGCCATTGTCATTTCCTTTTCCTTTTTTTTTGCGCTCTTTCTGAATTGATTTTGTGAGAGTACTTTTCATTTTCCGAGCCTCATTACCGTTTTCAACTGTCACTAACTTCACATTCAACTTCCTTTTTTTTTCTTGTCAGTGTGGGCAACGTTGGTGAACTCCGAGTGATGTCTTTCCAGTGTGGGTTTGTCTTTTTCCCTTTTTTTATTTTTTGTCTCGTCACCATATTGGACTGGAGGATTACCCACTTGTAGATTTAACCTCCCAAATGTAATGTTACATCAGCCGGTAATGCTCCCATCATGCCCTGGTACAAGAAATACACTCAAATAAATATTCTGTCCAACATCATCAGTCTTGCCTTTTTCTCCAATTCTTTTTAAATGGTGTTTGCGAGCTGTGCTGTGGAAGACACCAAAAAAAAGAAAATACTTATATAAAAAAAGGCTTCTTAGATTTTACCATTTTCTTAGCCCTGCGAGAGTTAATGCCACTGTCACTCGTTAGGGTCAAGGCTTGCTTCCTGAGAACTCGTTCTGCAAATTATAAGTGCCGAACATCTACCAGAATCATCAATGTGAGCATTGGTAATGGGCATGCAAGTTTTGTGCATGTGCTGTATTTCGGGTGTTAGCGATTTGGTTATTGGTTCACAATACCTTGGACGGTAGGGATTATATGTGTACATCAAATTCCCATGGGCGGCGAAGTTGCCGTATTTGATTTGCCATAGCTAAAACAACGATCCTTGAAATTGGACGGCGACTTGCGCCATCTAGTAAATTATACGCGGCTTACAATGTCATTCGGAGCGCAAGAGTAACAATTTTATCCCATTGCGGGTTTGCGCAGGTTTGTCTAAGCAAATCAGTGAGGTTCGTGCAGTCATTGAAAGTGTAAACATGGTAGCGTAAATGTTACTTTTGATCGCTTTATGATTATTGTCGGAATTTTGCGGTGCGCCTAGTTGGTTCCCGCACCGTGAGGTGGCGACACGTCGCGCACGTACCTCTCGTCTGCAAGCCGAGCGAGCGGCCGCTTGAGCCGAAGCCACTCGTGTGTGCAGCCCGGCGCGTTGGCGGCGCGACTTCGAAAGTGGTGCGCCCAGGTGCTTCCAGTGTCGTGCCTTTGCCCCCGTCTGCGTGGGATAGTGCTCTCGTGCTCGTGCGCCCGTGCCTGTCCGTGGGTGACGCAGCGAACCACTCGGCGTCGGGACAGCGTTGTCGAAGCATCCAGGGGCCATGCGGCCGTCCCACCGTCCCAAGAGTCCGTGCCGGGACGTGTAAGAAACCGTCGCCGAGGGCGCAGTGCTGTGTTTGTGCCGCCGTGGATTTGCCGGAGCCGAGATGCGGTGCTCGTTGGCGGCCGCCCTCTTCGTCTACTGCCTCTCCGTGGCTGCCGCCGAGCGCTTGTCAGGTACGCACTATTTCGGGTTCAGGGCCGGCCTGGTCGGGGATCGGGCGGGCCGCCCAACGTCGCCTTCGCAGGCACCGGGACGTTGCTCGCGATGAACCCCGCCGGTCGTGCTTCGCTCGGTTCTCGGGACGTGGGAGGCGTACGCGGAGTACCTTAGCTGCACGCGTCGGGACGTGGGATTCCGACGGGATCGAAGCAGACGGCGGTTTGGACAAAGCACACGACATTGAGTGGTAGACGCGGTCGGCTGGCGCACGTTAAATGGTCTGTGCCACGCTCGGTGCTACCGGCGATCTTCACGGACCACAGGCCTGTGTTTTGACCCTTGCCCGTCATTCTGGCATGCATTCTCAACAAACTGTGCACCAATAGCAGGCCTAACTCCAAATCGGTCTTTTCTACGCGCTTGCTCTCACTAGCGGAGAGTTTCGGTTAGCAGACGACGCCGGATGGCCAGCCGCTTGTAAACTTCGATTAACTTGAAGTTTCGATTGAGCAGACGGTTGCCCGATAATGAGCCCATATAACGCCATAATAAGAAAGAAAAGGACGAGAGACTGGTTTCTGGAAACGACCAAGCTCGTTGACGCGGTCTTTAGTTATCCCAACAAGTCCGGTTTTACAAGATGTTATTTCTTTTGTGCACTTGTAAAACCTGGTACACTTGCGGCGTCGGCTAGCATTGGATCATTTGTTTTATGTAACATGTCTACCCTAATTTTACTCTCTGCTACCTAATTGTAAAATAAAACTTTCAGTGCCCATTTTTTTTTTTTTTTTCTTTTTTAAGGTTAGTATTAGTAGCTGGATTGAACGGTGGCTATGTCCCGGTGAGAGGGCACTCGAAACCTCTTGACCCCTCAGGTGAGGAGTCCTATTCAGGCAATGCCCTCAGTGGGACGGATAAGTTGCCAACGTAGCGCTCAGTCGACCTCAGGGTGTAATGCACTCGACCGATTGCGCTGGGGGACAGCTCCGTGCGATAAGGCCCCCTGCAGCGTAAAGCACGTCAAGGTCTTGGGGGGGGGCGGCCGGGCGCGAGGCCCGGCCGAGTGTTGACGCCATGCTTGTGTCCAGTCTGCGTCTTCGCTCAATCTCAGTGTGATGATGTCACAATTCTGGTGGCCAGGCCTTGGTTGTTTTTTATGGTCTCGAAGGCAACCGGAGTTCTCGGCTGTCTGCCGCCCCTTCCTGAAGGCCGCAGGGCCAGCTCATAGTAGTAGAGCTTTAGTAGAATGTTTCGATAACCCCGATACCCGATGCTCGGCTGTTGTTATTGTTCATGCATCGTATAGTTATCGGAAACCTTTATTTATTTAGGTACCTTCAAGAAGGACATTTACACGAGGGAGGAAAAAACAAACATTTCGAGGGGAAGTAAACGGCAACTAAACACAACAGTAGAATAGCCATAGCAAACACTTTACCCGGTGCTGAACCTAATCAATGCAAGTAAAAACACGAATTGAGGAATAATCGATCAAATCACTCAGAACCACCAAAATCATGAGCAACTATCGATCGAACAAAGATCGTGTTATCCATAAGTGACTAGAAACAAGGGCCCGAAGATGTTCGGAGTTAGATCGGTGAACATGGGATTAGGGAGGTCATTCCACCAAACGACAGTTTCGGAAAAAAATAAAAAAAAGAATATAGAAATGAAGAGGTGCGACAGGGGGTGTAAGGGATCGTGGGTGATTAAGACGAGGTGTGAAGAAAGATGGCTGGGTGAAGAGACCATGGCGCAGGTAATCGTTTTGCGCACTGTGCATGCGCTGCGCGAAGTAGTTCTTACAAGGTCCGGTTGGTGAACTCACATTGGTGCAAATTAGTAACATTCCGAGAGGATCCGGGACTTCATAACGCGATCGTGTCGCAGAAAGTCCGGCGTCGGCGGGACCGGAAAATTCTGATTGGTCCTTAAGGTCATGACGTCATAGTTACGTGTGACGTCACGTGACGCTACCGACTAGGCCATGCACACAGGCTCGGGAACGGGCGCGGGTTCGTACGAGAAGGCTTTGCGAAGATAAGGCTATCGCCTTCCACTCTTAAAGGCGAAGCTTAAGTGTCATTCAAGTTTTTTTTATTACGATTCTTGGGGTGAAAACCCCGAGTCAAACTCCCTATTGCCGCACCCTGTACTTCGCGAGTCTTGATGACCTGGACTCGCAGGTCGAAAAGACGCGTGGCTCTGCATGGAGATAAGCCCTCGCTTATCTCGTTCATTCACCGATACCGCGCAGTCAGGGATTCCACCGGAGCGTCATTATCGGCCGCGGGGCTCTCTTCCGATGCCCGATAACGAGGGAGGTCCGGCGGCTCTCGGCGCTAACCAAACATCTTTTTGGAACGCCCAGGCTTTGTTCTTCCCGGTGTGCTACTCATTATTTCTAAATTCGAAAGAGCTATCGAGAAAACAGCAAATGAAGGTGGTGCCAGAAACAAGGTTAAATTTTTCTCGTGCTCTCCAGCGAGGCGACGTCACATGCTGTGTAATCTACTACAAGTCGAGCAGGTAGTCTAAATAACACGTTATTTTGCGTGCGTCTTTTTTTTTTCTGGCGCAAGTTTTTCTATTACATATTTCACGCCATCCTTGTAACTCGTCAGAAACAAGCTGTAATGCAACATCTGACGTCATGTTTTAATGACGTCAGATCATGATCTAAAACTTCGATAGCTTCGCAAGAAAAGAGAATAAATATCGTGACTACCAATTTGATTTACTTGTTCCCATGTTTTCATTAATGAGTCGAACCAATTTTGAGGCAAGTCAGTGACTGAAACTTTCGCCGGAGTCGTTATACGGTCGTTTCGAGCGACTTATGTTTGTTAATTTTTCCGCTAAATTTAGCGGAGAAATCGACGTCACGCGAGTTCGTAGACACCAGGACTTCGCACCTTGACTTGACGTCAATTTCCCTCTAAATTTAGCGGAGAAATTGACGCATACCCTCGAGTCAGGTGAGGTCTGTTTCCCCACAAACGATTACGGGAATAGAAAAAAAAGAAGAAGTTAATAATAATGCATAGACGGACGGGCGAGAAGACAAAATCCGGGCATTACCGCACTTTACTAAATGCCCTTTAGGCTTATAAACACGGCGCCGGTGCTCCGGGTGGTGGGCACCGGGAGACGTGCTTTCGGGTCCGCCCGCTTATTTCTGACCGCGCTGCTGTTTTGATTGGCACGTTCAGTACCCACCCCTCTATGGGATACAGTATATTTGCGGGCCGATCGCGCCTTTTTTTATGTATTTTTTTTTTCTAAGGTACACGCAACTTGCATCCAGCGGAATCCGTGTGACGTCTCGTCCGTCAAGAGGAATTGATTCGCTTTGAACCGCGGCGCGACGCACGCCTGCTTCGTGTATACGTGGGCAAAGTCGCTTTCCTCGCAGGCCAGGAAATACTTGAGTGCTCGGTTGGTTGCTGTGCTCGATTCAATATGTCATAGAGGTGCGAGAATGCGACCCGAGCTTTGCCCTCCAACCCCGTTTGGGGCTTTTTTTATTTTTTAGTATCTGGAATGTTACGGTAGAACGAAGTTCTGGTGTAGCTCTTGAGACATATTGTTCACGATATACAGTATATCCAATGCGGGACGCTGTTAGGGCAAATAAGATATGTTTTTTTTTTTTTTTTTTTTTTTTTTTTTTTAAATTTTACTTTGGAAAGGTTTTTGAGGACAATAAATATTCACGCCCAGATTAGTCTAAAAAAACCATTACATTTGAAAAAAAAAAAAAAAAAAAGAAACTTGCGATTGTTTATTTATTTATTTATTTTATTTTTTATTTCTGTTTTTGTTGTAGCTCCGTATGCCTGACCTGTTATGATGTCGAACAAGATCGATCAACGGTATACCTATAAAAGAAAATATACCTTTTTATTGTAGAGATTGTTATAGGTTCTGTGAAGTTATCGCCGTCTTACTCAATATCACCTAACCCCTCCTGTAGAAAAAAAAAAAAGAAAGATATGAGGTGTTCGAGGTTGTCTAACCACTCGGCTAACAAGGGGCTCCTTATGCGCGGGCGCACCGGGCGTAAATGCGTGCCCCGCATACTCCCCGAGGCATTGTGCGGAGGCTGTGGCGCGGAGTCGACTCCGGATGGCGCCCCGACGCGATGAACTGAAACGGCTGTGATCTTATTTACTCGTTTATTTACTAAGGCATAGTAGAATGCCTTTTAACCATGGAGAATAGAAGGGTAGGAGAGGGCATGACGTCAGCCGCGTAGCCTCCACAAGCCATGCTCCCTTGACGCCTCGCCTCTTTCGCATTTTTCTCCTTACTCTCACCACATCACGTGACCGTAGCTAGCCTTCGTCTAGCTATGGTGTACTAGAATACACCACAGCCTAGCCTTCGATCTGATAAAACCTACCGGACGGAGCGCGCGCAAGCCTGCAAGGTACCCTCCTACAATCAACCATCCATCTCACACGTGACATGTCACGCGCACCAATCGCCAGACAGATCTGTGGTCACGCTGGGCACAAAATCGTTTAAACTTTTTATGACTAGGTTGCACCAATATTGCAACGTGCCCCCTCCTAGTACTTTTAACCTCCTTGCTTTTAACCAAACCGCGTAATACCGGAAATAGTCCTGTCCGTCCGTACGAGCATTTTCCCACTAAATTTGGCGGGAAACGTAACGTCATGTGGTGTCGGCGTATCACGTGACACCACGACTTGAATGTATGACGTCAATTCATCCGCTAAATTTAGCTGGAAAATCGACGTAACGTGACCTGGGGGAACACTTTAATTTCCCCGCTAAATTTAGCGGTGAAATTGACGTGACGTCATGGTGTCAAGTCCTGGTGTCACGTGATAAAATGACGCCGCGTGACATCAGGTCACGTGATTTATATTTCTCCGCTTAATTTAGCGGCGGAGAAATTATTTAGTGAAGCAACCTGTTTGACTCTCCGAAACGACCGTTCGATGTATGTCCTTGCTGGTAAGGTGGAGGCCTCGCCGAA